GAGCCCACGAGGGCTCAGTGGGGTGGGCCAGAGGCTTAGGGACAGCAGGGCAGGAAGGGCCAGCGTGAGGCTTTGCTTTCGACCATGCAGAGAGTGCCACCTCCAACAGCAGCCGCTGTCTTCGCTGGCGATCCTGCTTCCTAGATCCCTGCTCCTCAGGCTCCTGCAGGGAGCAGGCCCAGCCGAGGAGGGGAAGGAGGCCGGCCAGGGCCGCCCAGGCCTCCTGTCTTCCCTGACAGTATCCTGGGGCCGGAAGAGGCCAGGGCAGCAGCCCCCAGAGCCTCTGTCCCAGCTGGGCCATCAGGGCGCTTGGAAGCGACTTTCAAAACCACGGTTAACAGCCACACTGCACTGAACTGCATTTATCCTGTGTGTTAATTATGGAATCATTTTTCCTTTTTCTCATATTAATTCCATTCCCTTTTTCCTTTCCCCTACCCCTCCACTTCCCCTTCCCCTTTGCCCCTTTTCTTCCCATTTCACATTATCTATTATACCTTTTAGTCCTTATCTACACTTTCAGTTTCTCACACCAGAGAAACTATTCGGTATTTACACATGTGTATCCTATTTATTTCACTTAAGAGGATGGCTTCAATGTGGATCCACTTAGCTATAAATGTCTCTAGTTTCTCATTCTTTTTTTTTTGGTACTGGGGATTGAACTCGGGTCTTTGCGCTTGCACAGCAGGCGGCGAAACCACTGAGCTAAATCCCCGGCCTTTAGTTTCTCATTCTTTATGGCTGAGTAGTACTCCATTTTATTAAAAACCCACATCTTCTTTATCCAGTCTCCAGCTGATGGTCACTTTGGCTGTTTCCAAGCTTTAGCTATCACAAACTGTGCTGCTATAAACATGGGTGCACATACATCGCTGTGGTATGATTCTTTTAATTCTTTGGGGAAGAACCCCAGCAGGGAAGTCTTTGTAAATAGGGAGGGATGGAGGGGTTAAAGGGAGGGCAGGGGAAGGGGGAAAAATAAGAACCAAGAGAGATTATGTAAAGGTGTAAATTTCCAATGATGAATGTCATTATATTGTATACCTAAAATGTACCAATATAATTAATAAAGAAATTTTTTTTAAAAAGAAGAAAGTTATGGAATCAGCTCATGCTCTTAACAAGGGATCTGCTGCCCAACAGGAAAGATACAGTGCAGCATAACAGGCAGGGGGTGGAGTGCATGGAATAAAAAAAATCGTCATTTTTTATTCCCCCAAGGAGCAGAGGCTTCTCCAACCAGTCACATAAAACAAAACTGCCCAAAGGGATGCAAAGTCCAGGGTTCTTTCTGTCCATTTGCTGCAGTGCCTGCCCATGGAAGTAAACTCACAGTGGTCGCCTTTTCTGGTCACCATCAGCAGGAGGGGCTCCGTGGGCAATGAGGAGGCACAGCTTCCCTCTGCCCTTTGTCACTGTGCCATCTGGTGGTGGTGACTTCAATCGCCTCACCTTGAGGGTCCTCTGGTTCCCGTGGTGGATGTGGGGTTCAGGCATGGCCAACCTTGATGCCCCATTTACTGGTTTAAATGACTGGTATAAGGGAGGGGACATGGGCCACGTCCCCTCTGAGAAATCTGCTCCACGTCCCCAGGAGGGAGCCCTGTTTCGTGGAGGATCACGGAGGGCTGAGAACAAGCTAAGCCTGCGGCTAGCAGCACCCAGCTTCAGTGGCAGAGCCTGGAGTTAGGAGGAGCTGAGGAGAAAACAGGACTGAGGAAGAGAGAGGAGACAGAGCGCTCACGCTGCATTAGACCCCGGGTCCCGCAGGACTGAAAGCCAGAAACACTGCTGGGGCGTCAAAGTTGTAGGCCCTGGGGTGGTTTGGTGCTGAGCATCCATCCCCAAAGGTCCATATGTAAAGCCTTGGTCCCAGGGTGCCGTACCAGAGGTCCTGTGGCCCTTTAAGAGGGGGGCAAAAAGGAAATGTATGTATCTCTGTTCTAAATCGTAACAAGGTTTGGTGTTCAGGGGTGCAGCTCAAGGGTGGAGTGTGTGCTCTGCCTGTACAAGGCCCTGGGTTCAATTCCCAGTGCCACAAAAAAGAGAAGGGAGACCTAGCAGGAGGTCTTCAGATCCTGAGGAGGGGCTTGAAGGGGACAGGGGTGTGACCCGGGCTCGGCTCTGCCTCTCGCCCCTCTGGGTCCAGATGTGGCTGTTCCTCGGTGTTCCTACATCTGCTCCTGCTGTGTGCAGATTCTTCACCCTCACAGGGCCCATCAAAAAGACCATGCCATCCTGGACCCGAATCTCCACAGCTGTGAGCTAAAGAAACCTCTTCCTACTTCACAAGTGGGCGGTGTCAGGCATTTTATTATAGCAACAGGAAGCTGACTAATATAGGCTGGTCACTTTGTGGCTAAACTACACCATGTTGGGGTTTTGTTGTCAAGAACAGCCTGAACACACTGGATTCTAGATTCAGCTATTCCAATGACAACACATGAGCACAGGCAATATATTAAGCTTTGTCTATTCTTTTATTGATTTACTCATTCATTTATCCAGCAAATATATAACGAACATATATTAAGTGCTCTTAGACACTGAGCTTGGCATGGAGGATGAAAGATAAAACTATTTGATCTCTAGCTTTAGGAGCTCACAGTCCTTGGGGATGAAAAATGATCCCAAAATCAATGGAAAGGAGGGTTTTAAAATTCAAGGGGAGTCGAGAGAAAGCGCATAAATGTCTTCTGGCTGGAAACGCCAGGCAATGCGCTGTGCGACCCACTTGCTGCCTGAGAGTCCAGAGTGTCCCAGGCAGAGGGAGCAGCGTGGCAGGAGAGGGCAGCTCAGGATGGTGCTCGCACTCGGGCAAGGCAGGGACAGCAGGAGCACGGGTCAAGGGGTGGACAGGGTGGGGCGGGAACTGTATCTCGAGACAGAGTTCAGCCTCTTGTCTAACAGTCATGGTGAGCCACAAAGGATCCTCACCGAGGGACATAGGGTAGGACCTGAAAGGCCAAACTCCCGGACAAGCACGGGCAGCTCCGGGCCGGACCAGCGCAAGATGGGAGACAAAGAGCACTCAGAGGCGGGTGGCGGGAGGAGCTGAGCGACTGCGCTGGGGAGCAGATGCGCCCACGTTGGCCCTTTGGGTGGCAAAGGCTGAGAGGACGGTGTATTATTTCGCGGGCTGGGATGAGAGTAGGTCCTGCATTCCCAAGATTCTTAACCTTGTGTGAGTCGCTATTCCTTTGAGAACTCTGGGAAAGCTATGCCCGCTCTTCTCAGGAATGTAAGTGTGGAAAATAAGAAAGGCTAACGTGTGCAGGCATTTACTACGTTCCTGTCACTGTTCTAGAAATGTCGTGTATTTCCTCCTGGCAACAAACCGAGACGTTCGGGCCATTATTATGCGGATTGCATGGTTCAGGAACTCAGAGAGGCTAAGTTTCTCACCCTACTCACACAGTAAGCAGCAAGCCCGGGATTTGGACCTCGATGTCCGACTGACGCTCAGTGAGGTAATGACAGCTCCACCGCCCCGGTAAAGGGGCACCCATGCCTTGGGGAAGTCACGGGTCCCTCTACCCAGAGCCCCTTCACCCTCCCAGTGAAGTGCCCTGAGATTTAGGGACAAGAGCCTTGGGGACTCCACAGCGTGAGATCGCAGACTCCACTCAACCCTCCCCCAGCTGCGGACAGAGGAGGCTGGTGCCCCCACCAGCCCCAGCAGGCCCCTCCCTAGGGCACCGGAAATGCTTTTCCTAGCAGATTCTTCACGAGATGCTAGCGTCACAGGTGCAGCACAGGAGGCTCTGGTTTCTGGGTCTCCTCACTCCTCACCCTCCCCTGGTGGGGCCGCGCAGGCCCCCTGAGAACACCTGACCCCACCGCCTACCCTTTCATGGTTCCCAAATCACACGGCCCCTTGCACCTATGACCACAAAGCCTGGCAGTGATCAGGACCCGCACCCCAAACACTTCCTGTGTGCCACATGCTCTGTTGGGCATGTCACACACCTAGTCTCGGCAAACGTCTGCCCTGCTCAGCAGCTGAATGAACTGAACATTTCTCAGTCCCTGTATGGACGAGGGAGGAATTCTATGCTGATTTTCTTGCTGCAGAGAACCCAGGCCCGGTGACGTTGGCCCATCTACATCTCCTGTTGGGAAGTGGTGGAGCCAAACCTCCCCAGCGTGCCCTGTGACTCCTCCCGATGTCTGCTGATCCCCCAGCTGGCAGAGCTGTGCAGGGAGATGCCCCGGGCGCAAGCTGATGCTCTGGCAGCTTCCCAGGAGTCGACAGGGAGCAGCACTTACCAGATGCCCTTCAAGACACTGTCACTGCCAGGGTGGCCCTGACATCTGCTCTCCGGCTGATTCGCACCTCCTGGGGCTGTTACCGTCTCTGGCCCCTTGGCAGCAATTGAGATTTCAGACTGCAGGAAGCACAGCCAGTGGCTGCCGTTAGCACTGCCCACGCTCCATGGACGCTCTCCCCGGCGCCTGTGGCAAGGGTGCACTCTGCCGCCCTGGGTGTGGCAAGCTCGACCTTGAAAGCCTCTGAACCTCACTGGCCCTGTGAAGAAGGTGATGCCAAGGAGGACAGTGGCATGGCCAAGCCCACGTGATGAATCTGGAGGAACAGAACATGATTTCCCAGCTCTCTTGCATGCAGCAGCTCAAGGGTCACAGTTCAGGGGTGACAGTTCCACCAGCCTCATGCTGCTGAACTGGGGGACAGCAGAATCCTCCAGGAAGCGTGCTAACCATTGAGCCTCCCACGTTCACTTGTGGAAATTGTGACTCAGTCACTCTTGCAGAGCCTGAGAACCCACATTTTGAAAATGTCACATCCCATGGTTAGAAGGAGGCCCATACATCAGCCCAGGGGAAGCTGGAACCCCGGTGCCTCCTTCTGGGAACCCCACGCTGCCGCCTTCGTGGCTACTTCCCTCCCTGATGGCGTCCTTGGCCCTCGGGCAGAACCCGAAGTGTCCAGGAGTCAGCAGGGCTCCTCGGACTTCCTCGGCCACTTGCCATCTGCCAGGCACTCTGTAGCCTCCAGGGAAATAGGGCAGAGAAAAGCTGGCCCTTGTCTACCGGGAAAGGAAAGTGTACAGCAACAATTCTCAGCGTACCGCCTGGAGAATCCCAGCATGGGTTTCTGGCTCTGAGAAATGCCACGCCCACACTGTGAGCTGCCCGGGAAGAAGCCTGCGGGACAAAAAGCTGCCGTGTGGCCGACAGTCACTGACCCCCCAGGGCTCCCGCCAGCCCGGCTGTGTACCCAGACACCGAGATTGCAGCTGGGCGCTGGCTACGCTGGGAGAGACCTCGAACCGGAGGTGTCAGTAGCCACGAGTGGACTCCTGGCCCACAGAGGCTGGGAGACGATGAGCATTTGCCACACTGTTGGATTTGGGGTTCAACTGTTACAGGGCACAGATGACTCTGGCGGTGGAGCTACCTCAGGGATATGCAGGAAAGGAGGGGAAACAGACTTGGGTGCTGCCGTGGATGATCTTGAACAGGAAACTGGCCTTTGGGAGACAAGAGGCGATGGGGCCCAGAGTGTGAGAAGAGGGATCTGCTGCAGGCAGAAGCAAAGTTCATCGGCAGAGTGAGAGCGCAGAGTCCTTGGAGAAATGCACCCTGAGTCCAAGGCCGTGGCTCAGAGGGAAGGCAGTGGGAGTCTGAGGCGTCTCCCTCCTGCCACATTTGGCTGCAGGGGTCTGGACTTGAGCAGGCAGCTCTGCATCCCACGGTGTCAGCTTACTACGGAAGAATGACAGGGCTGAAGAGGACAGGGGCGGGGGACGTTCAGAGGCCACTGCCATAATGATTGGCTGCAGACAGCCACACGTGAGGATCACTAAACCGGAAGTCCCAGTGGGGACAAAGGATTGGGGAAGCCAGAGTGGTGAAAGCAGTGGATGCAAGAAATCAAGACTGGAGGTGGGCTGCGGCTACCGGGTGAAGCCACAGGACAGAGTGACCGAGGGAGGAGGATCATGGGAGGAAAGAGCCTCCAGGAACTGAAACGCAGCGCCCGGGTGGCAGGAGGCGTCACCCACAAAGCTTCCGGTAGATCTGCTCAGCCCAGCTTCAGCATAGAGGTTGTCAGTATTGAGCCTGGAAGCAGAGGGGTGGCAGGAACAAACGAATAGGGGAGCAAACAAGCTATTCGTGAACATTGGTGTTTTATCAGTGAGCCACTTTTAAAATCAAGAGCCAGAGTAGGAAAAGCATGTAAGTAGTCTTAACCACGGCAATACTGGCTTTGCGCATGCGGCCTGGCACTGTTCTAATCGCTGTGTGTACATGAACTCACTTGACCCCCACAGCACACCTGGGAGGTAGAGACTGCAGCAGGTCCCATCTTACAGAGGAGGAAACCCACACGGAACGGTAAGCAATTTGCGTAAAACCGCGTTGCTGATAGATGGAAGAGCTGGGCTTTGAACTCTAGAGTTTAGTTCTGGAGTCTCCACTTTTTAAAAAAAAAGCAAAAGAAAAAAAGATTTTCTCTTATTCTGCAGGCTGCCTCTTTACTGATAGTTTCTTAAACTGCAGAAACTTTAATTTGATGTGGCTCTTTTTTTTACTCTTGCTGTTATTTCCAGGTTCAGGAAATCGTTGCCTGTACCTATGGCTTCAAGTGTCTCTGCTCCATTTTCCTTACACAGTTTAGAAGTTCCAGGTCTTCTCCCTAGGTCTCTGACCCATTTTGAATTGAGTTTTGTACAAGATGAGAGATAGGGGTCTAGTTCCAGTCTCATACCTGCAGATTCAATCTGCTACTTAGAAGACCCTAGAAACTCCACCAGAAGACTTAGACCTGATAAACAAAGTCAGAAAAGTAATGTGTTACAAAATCAATATGCAAAAATGGATAGCTTTTCTATATACCAATAATGAACCCACTGAGAAAGAAATTAGGAAAACAATTCCCTAGATCCGCTAGAAGAATCATGATATCCAGTGTCAAAATACACCACAAAGCCATAGTAATCAAAACAGCATGGAGTCTTTCCTTCCACACAACTGTCCTGTTTCCCTCCTCTCCTGACACTTCCCTCTCCTCTGCCAAGTTCCAGGCATTATGGTCAGGGCCACGCACCTTGGCATTTGGTTACATTTTGCCTTGAATTAATCATCTGTGCCTACTTTTGTGTAGTCTTGCTTCTACAACAAGAGCTAAAATACAGCTCCCTGGCCTCACTCCTATTACAATGTGTGCATACACACCCTCACACATGTGCACACTCACACATCCCCTGCCAAGCTCCATGCCGAGCGCCCTTGCCGTGAACGTGGCCTGGGGCAGTGCAGACAGGGACTCTGTTGGGCGGCGGCCTAGCTCTGCAGCCCCACACTGGCTGTGTGATCTCAGGCAGGCACCTCGCTTTGCTGAGTCCTAATTTCCCAGTCTTAAAGTGGGGATTCTCATAGCTTCTTCTTGCAGAGCAGGAAATGAGGCCTAAGCCTGGCATCTCCTCCGCACATGCTCCTTACACCGGCATCAGCAGCATCTTAACTCCATCATTCCCGTCAGTTCGGGCGTCCTCACCCTCCAGCCACCACCTGCCTTGCACTGCGGTGAACATGTTAAGCTATTTCTCGCCTCTCTGCCTTCGCTTTCTCTCCATTCTTTTTCTGAATCATTTTTTCCCTTTGATTCGCGTCTGTGGCTAGATGTCACCCTTCAAGAAGGCCTTGCCTGATTCTCTTACCCTCACACACGTGTGCACACACACATTTCGCTCTACCACCTATTTTCTGCATAGCACGCTCCATTATTGGAAATTATTGCTATATATGTGTACCATTTATTTCTCTCTCCTTCCCAGAACTTAGGCTCCAGGAGGGTGAGAACCTATATCCCTCTCACGGTGATGACCTATTTAGTGCCAGGCCCAAGAAAACACCCGCTGAATCTGTGCCGGCTGAGTGCTGAATGTGTAGCCATGACTGCTAGTGACAAAGGCCACGTGAGCTGTGTGTCAGCCCGGGCAGGGCACTGCACTGTGGCCTTGGCAGGAACCGTTTCACTTAATCTTCACACACGGCCCACAATGCAGTGCTGCTGTACTCAGATGTAACCGAGATGCCCTCGAAACTGGACAGGTCAGTGCTGCCCTCAAGGTCACCCAGAGGGTGAGTCCAGCCAGTGGCCCAGGGAGCCTGCAGTCCCCGGCTGTGCATCTCAGGTAAAGGACATCCCCTGCCATCCTGGCCAGCACTGTCCCACCCACGCTCCCCCTGGCTGCCACCCCTGGCTCTCAGGCAGGCTGCCTGGGCCCCCAGGGAAGTCCTGGACAGGACCCAGGTCTGCTCCTGGAAGGGAGCCCCAGCAAGGCAGGAGCATCCGTCCCTGCTGGCTAAGCCTTGCCCGCTGGCATTGCCACACGGCAGAGACTGACTCGAGGAGTGGCCACCAGGTGCAGAGGTCGCTGAGCCAGAGGTCTGAACCACCTCTGCATCCTCCCAGCCCAGGCCTGCTGGGCCCTCGCTTCCGGCTGCTTCGGAACACCTGGTAAGAGGACGACCTGCTTCCCTACCCTTCCTCTCGACACCCAGGGCCCTGAGCGCCAGGCCCTTCCTGCCCTGTCCTTCCGCTCCTCCCACCACTCTCCACCTGTACCTCACCTTCCCCCTTCCCCTTAATCGTCTCATTTACAAAGGGAAAGTCTTTGGGGGAGGTGGATGCTTCAGGCATCTCAAAGTACCCCAGGGCTGCAGAAAGCTGTCAGCCCCTTCCCAGCAGGGTCACGTGGCCAGATCACTTCCCAGGGCTTCTGGAGAGTATGCCATCAGAGGCCCCCCGTGCCCTGCCCCAGGGACAGGAACCACATGGCCCTGTGGGCCAATGCGAGGGCTCAGGTTTCCTCTTAATTTCCTGTGCATTTAGTGATCATGGCTTAACTCGGTGATGAATGATTCCCTGATCCAGTGCACACCACGAGGGGGTTCTCCAGGCTTAGCAGGGGGACCCCCAGGCCATCCCTCTCTTCCTATCTCCTGTCCTACAAGGGGTCCGCATCCTACTCTGAAGGGGGCAGCTTGCTGCCCTTCCCACGGTGTCTTCTCCTCATGCCCCCGCCTTTCCTGCTTTTACTTAAAAAGTCTCTCTTTGAGCCAAAGTCCTTTCAAGAGAACTTCTTGTAACAAATATCCTACATTAACATACCACGTTAAAGCCTTTCTTTAAAAAAAATCTTCTCATTACAAAATAATACATGCTCATTATAAAAATACGGAAAATGCAGGAACATTTTTAAAAGAAGCTTTAAATCATCCATCGTCTCACACTCCTGAGAAAACCGTGGCTAATATGCAGCTGATTTGTGTGTCTATGTGTACCTCTGTGCATCACTAATGCCCCACGCTGATTGAATGGAGGCGCACACCAGATGCAGTGAGTCCATGTAGAGCTCATGACTTCCACGACGTGCTCTCCCCATTTCTTCTCCCCCTGAGCACCCCCATAAACGGAAGAGCAGATCTGCATGCTTTGGGACTGGCACAGGGAAGCCAAGGTCCAGAGAAGCAGTGATTTTTCCCAAGGTCATGCATTTTTCTTGTACAACTGGGATTGGAGCCTAAGTCTCTTGGGCCATGGCCAAGTGTTCTTTCCACTGGACTGAGAGAAAATCGTCCCCAGCACCATCAGGAGAAGAGTCCTAGGTACAAGTGCCAAATTATAACATGTAGAATCAGTTTCTAGGGTTTACATTACCCGAGTCCAAAGAGAGGAATGTTGAAATGCCTTCTTGAAGCAAATTTGTAAATGTATCGTGGTCACTGAGGGAGCGAGAGTTCCCCCTCTTGCCTTGAACTTGGACTGTCATCCTTGCTGACCCTCTAGTTTATTCAGAGTTTCAAGTTGCAAATTGAAATATAACTTACTCCTACTTCATGCAGAAGGTTAATTTATTCAAAGGTATCAGGTACATCACAAAATCTCCAGAAGGACCAAAGAACCAACTTTGGTAACCACATAGGAACAACCAAACCTAGGGCGATTGTCAAATATTTGGCAGCCATACGATGCAGGCTCCAACTAAGAAGAATAGCAGAAGGCAATAGATGACCTCTACAGCAGTACTGGGGCATCATAGCTGAGTATCAGCTCTGCCTGAATCTCACCTTGGACACAGTCCATTAGGGAGATTGCATTAGTCAGGTTCTTCTGTGATAATGCCAAACAACAAATTTTCTCAACAGCATTTTCTTTTCTGTTCATGGGTCAGTTGTGTTTCAGGTAATCTCAGCTGGGCTCAGCTGAGCTTTGTTGGGTCCAGGTCCAGAGATTGGGTCTGTTTCAAGTGTCTTGATTTCAGGACCCAGGCTGAAGGGACAGTGGGTACATGGAGCAGGTTCTTCTCATGATGAGGGGGAGGCTCAAGGGGGCTGATGGAAACTCACCATGCTTTCTAAAGCCTTTCCCGAGACAGACCGGAGATGCCGTCCCTTCCAGCTGAAGTCCATGGCCCAAAACAAGTCCTATGGCCAAGCTCAAAGTCAGTGGTCCTGGAGAGTAGCTTGTCTGCTGTTACAGGAGCATCACACAGTCACATTGCAAAAGGTGTGGTTCTATTAAGGGGGAACCTCTGCCTACTGCCCTCATAAATGGAGGGATTTGCCGCCGTCTTCATCAGAGTAGATTCGTCTCTGCTTGTTGGTTTCACTAGATTCCAGTTCATCACTCAGGGTACAGCCACCCATTGAGTGTCCAGGCTTCCAAGAAGTCTGGAGAAGAAAGTTTCTGGCTTCTCCCAAGGATGGGGTGGAAAAGTGACCTCACGGCAAGGCAGTTGATTCATGAAGTGGGGAATCCATCAAGTATTCTTCTCTGGGAGGAATACTTGGCCAAAGGAAGAACAACCAAGGTACTGGGTGGAAAGAAGGGCAAATGTCCACTGCACCCTCAGGAAGCAGACCTGCCTATCTGACTGCACTGTCCATTCTGATGTATGCATGACAAAGAAATTAATGCCTATCCATTAGTTACAATGAATACAATTTTGGTCACAGTAACAGTTTAAATCTAAAAGTCTCAAGTGGTCAGAGGTGGGGCTTTTTGGAAGATGATTGGATCATGGGGACACTGTACTCATCCCTTAGATTCGTTCACTGGTGACTCCAGGGCTGAATCTACTGTGAGGACGTGGAGCCTGGTTGGAGGTAGTCACTGGTGGCGTGACCTGGAAAGGTGTATGGTCCCAGCTCCTCCCTTCTTCCTCTGTTTCCTGGCTGCCTTGGGTTGAGCAGCTTTTCTCCACCAGGCCTTTCCACCATGCTGTTTTTTACCTTGAAGCCAGATTACCATGGACTGAACCATCTGAAACCGTGAGCCACATACAGTCATTCCTCCTTTAGGTTGTGCATATCAGTTATTTTGTCCTAGAAATGAAAAAGTGACTAATTCAGTCACTATAAAAAACAATTGAATCAATATCCCAGCAAAATGGAGACTTTCCCAGTCTTTCATTGGTGGGAAAGTAGATAAGAGTATGGGTTAGAGATAGGCATCACTAGGCTATGAATCTGAGTCTGTAACTTTGGGCATAGTATCCTCCTGATCCTCAGTATTTTCACTTGTTAAGTGGAGTTATACTATATACTTTATAAGGCTTCTGTATGACTTAATTTTTTATATAGGATATAAAGCACTTAGAATGGTAGTTGGCATTTAACTGCTCAAATAAAGGACATGTACTGCTATTATTTGGGAAGAGTCTGGACCTTGGTTACAAACATAGATCTCATGTATGTAATAGCCAAAGGGCATATTCAACAAATTTTTATTCTGTAACTCAAATAGTTATTAATTTCTATTGTGTAGAAGATATTCCCCTAGGTGATGTGGGAAATAAAAAGACAAATAAAAACAACTCTGCACCCAAGTGTCTTATGATTTAGTAGAAATAATAAAAAGAAACAACTAATGAATCCATGGCAGAAGAAAACAAGTGTCAAAAAAAGAAAGAATGTAGGCAAAATGTTGGGATCGAAAAGAAACTGCATCTAAACCAGAATTACCAGATCAGAATACCAGCCATCTGGTTAAACTTTATTTTCAGATGAACAACAAATTTTTTTAGCATAAGTATGTCTTATGAAATATTCAGGGCATACTTACCTTAAAAATTATTCCCAGTGTATCTGAAATTCAAATTTCACTAGGCATTTTATATTTGTTTGCTAAATCTGGCAGTGCTGAACTTGGGAGGATCAGTGGAGACTTCTCGAAGGAAATGGCATTTGAACTGTGCCTCCAGGAAAATGAATAGGATTTCAATGGGTGGATTATTTAAGATCATTCCAGGCTGAGAAGCCAAGAAAGAGGAAGGATGAGAGGTTGAAATGTCTAGAATACCTCGGTATAGATGTAACAATTTTGCAGTTCACCTAACTGGCCACCATCTTGGTGGATCTAGCCTAGTTGAGCCTTGGGGCAAAAAATAATGTGCAGCCATGTTGCAATATTAAAAAACTAAGATCTGGGGTCCTCAGTACTGTGTCCACCTAGCAGAGGATAATGCCCTGAATTCTGGAAGTACAATTAATTGGGAAGTAGAGAACCTAAAGGAGGGTGTCGTGTTGGAATAGTAACATTCTGAGACTAGGATTCACTACCCAGATCTTTCTTTGCAAGATGATTATAAACACACTGCTGGGAGGTTCAGCTTGCAAGGACCCTAATCTGCCTGTCACCCACAGGGATGGGCCCCAGGCAGCCTAGTGTGCTCTATGAGGCGTGTGTCACTGTACCCAAAGGCATCGGGACAAGTGTGGGTTAGTCACTTAGGCTGAGTCAGTCAGAATCCACCTCCTGGGCATCTGGAATTGGAACGAGAAGATTCTAGTCAATGCTGAATCAGCCTCCTGCGAAGGTGATTTATAGTTATTAGTAATTGCTGACTATTAAAGCAAAACTTTATCCCCCAGTGGCTTCATGATCTCCCCTCAGTGAGTGGGAGGAGAGAGCCAGGAAGCATTTGATGATCGAAAGTCGGGAAGGTCTTCTGGGCACTAAAGACTGGTATGGTTTTATCCTGGAGATATGCAAACAGGCAGATGACTTCTTTTTGTTCTTCATTAATTATTCCTCGGCCACAGTCAGAGCTGGCCTGGGTGCCAGGGGGCAAGGCAGGTGCTGGTTGCCGTCTGCTCTCTGAATCACTCGCTGGCCCCCTGCTCTGTTTATTCTCGGGAACAGCAGTAGAGACGTGTCCTGGTCTCCAGGAGTTCCCTGCTCTGGGGCTGGCTCTGTGTGAGCGCTGCTGTCCGCATTGTTGATGTGGAGGCAGAGACCGTGCGGGGCGTACACGGTGAGCCTGCCCCCAGCACTGCACTCCAGCTCTGGCTGACACGGCGTGCCTTGCCTTGGGGTTCCTGTTCAGGGAACTTGAATTTAATGGGACTCTTCTTGGGCTTGGATTGATTTGGTCCTGGTCCTTTGGGATTTCCAGAGAAAAGGATTCAACAGACTTAGCAGTGAGTTCTCTCGGATGAAATGAAAATGAGTGGGTTACAACATCTTGCATTCATGAATCAGGAAGAAGGATGCTAAGGAGTGAAAGCCAAAGGACGGTTTCCTAACCTTTCTGCCTCGATGTGGGCCTGAGCCCTCTCGGCTTCGGGCTCACTGTGAAGGGAGGATGCCTTGATCCGGACACAGGAAAAGGCCATGAAGAAAGGATCCCCTTGTTTCCTGGGGCAGGGAGCAGAGGACCGCATGTGGGGGACGTGAGGCCTTCCCCTGACATTCCCCGGCATCCCACTGAAACCGGAGCCCCCTTCAAAAGCCCTCAGCAAGGACCTCTTCCAAGATCACTTACGCCAGGCTGGGAGGACGTAACCAGTCGGCGACTCACCCGAGCAGCTGGACAAAGACGATTTTCGCAGCTGGAGCCTGGAAGACTGAGTCACCCGGCACTGGCCCCCCGACTCAGAATGGTGCATTGGGTGCTGAGAGGTTCTGAGCACTCAGCTTGCCCGAAATTCAGTTCGCACCTAGTTGGTAAAACCCGAGAGTGGATTTGTGCCTAAAAAGGTAAAATATCTTCTTGGTAACGACAGTGATCCCTGTTGTAGGGAAATAGCCCCAGGTCTGTGAAGCTAAGTCATCTTTCATCCCTGTCCATGTTTCATGTCTTGGTGGGATGACAGGGATTTTTAATGCTTCTTATTTTGTGTTTGAGATTAATCTGATGCTCCATTTCTCACAGAGGGCTCTGGGGAACAGTAGTCATTTTCCATGTTGTAAAGCTTTCCCTCATTCTTTATCCCACTCAAAGGCAGCTATTCTAAATTCTGAGGTCTTCTGAACCTCACAGCAACCCTGGGACAATTATGGGTGTCTTTTTAGAAAAAGGTGTTGTCAATTGACTCCAGGAGCACCAGAGAAACAATCTTATCGTGGGAGGTTAGATTCCTTCCAAGGGCCTTAGAGTGTTTTATGATGTGATCATAAACCCTGTACTTAATCAACTATCCCTTACACTCCTGAACATTAGACAGTAAGGCCTTCTCTCTCACCAATAAATCACCAAAATGGGACCATGCAGAAATGAATCCCATACATTTTCTGAGGAGAGGAATTCACAAGGAAAGGGCTGGAGAAACTCCCAGGAGGGAGAGAACCCTAGGATACAAGAGGTAGCAGCCCCAGCTCAGGAACTTACTTCTAAGGCGTGAGTTGGCCGTTGGCTGTCACAGGATCATCGGGATCCAGACTGAAGACAGAGCTCTCTGGGTTGGTTCACACGCCAGCTCCCCAACTCACGAAGTACACGAACTGAGCCCTCCTCTGCCTCAGTTTCCTCATCTATAAAGTGAGGAGAACAGCAGCATCGTGCTAATAGAGTCTGTGTGGAGTTAAATGAGACACTGACATTAGCAGCAGGCTCTAACATGGAGCACTCTGGGTCTTCCCACCTGAAGCAATTCGATACAGAAACAGTGACACAGGAGGTGCCAGAGATGAGAAGCCACGCAGATGCCAAGGACAGCTCGAAGACTAGAAATGGAGGGAAGGTGGCGGGGCTGGAAGCCACATTGGATCTGAGGGGGACATGGGGTGCGTGGAGAGGGGGCAGAAATACTTTGGCTTCTCTTCAAATCTTGTCTTTCTGCCTCCCACCAGAGCCTCTGATGGCAGAGCCTTCCCTGGGAGTTACAAGGTGAAGGAGCCCCCAGAACGGAGACCCTTGAAATACAGAACAGCAAAGTGTGTGTGTGGGGGGCTCCAGGATGGATCTGAGTGCAGACAGGCCAGGAACCAGCAGACACAGAGTGTCCTGAGGCCTTCTCATGAGCTAGACCCTGTCCTAGTACTTGACTTGGATTAATTCATTTAACCTCTTGGATACACCCAATAAATGTTACATCTATTGCTGAAGTAATTACTGCACAATCCCAAGAAAATAATGGCATGCAAGTGCATCCCTCACACTGAAATAGACTGAGGAGAAGAACTCTGCCTCACTGATCTGAAAGTCCCTGGAACACTGCATGTACCACGCCCTTGGTGGTCATCCAAGTCCTATTTAAGCTAAACGGAGTCAGAAAAGCCAGGCTACATAAAGAACCAGATCCCACTCTTGCTGAGTAAAGCACTGGGCCTGGCTCTCTCTCTCTTGAGGCTTTGGATCCTGAGCCATCATCTGGATGTCCATTGTGACTCCAAGGCCCACGCTGGAAGGACCATGTGACCAGGCCACAGGGAGGGAGGGAGATGCCCCAGGAGCTCTCATGCCTGGCCCAGACTTGGGAGTGATGAGGCTTTGAGGGGCCCTGGCCACTGTAAGGGGACTGCATTTCACCCTGGAGACAGGGAGAGGCTGGGGTGGGCATCGTGCCGAGATTCGAGGCTCAGGAAGATCATCCTGGCAGCCAAGCTGTGCAGACAGGAGCAGGAGCTCAGGTTGGAGGTGGTGGAGAATCCACAGCAGTCGTCCAGGGAAAAATGCTAAGAGATGGAATGAACACAACAGAGGCAAAGAAGAGAGAGCAGACTGGCAAAACCAGGACGTACAGGACAGACCTCGGTCGGCAGTTGGATGTGGGGGGAGCGAGTATAGCTCAGAATGGTCCAGTCTGTGATGGGAGTGAATGAAGCGGAGCACTAGGGGGAAAGGCAGTGGCTGGGCTTGGACAGGCCAAGTCCCAGCTGCTTCGGGGTAGCCCGAGCGGGTCGGTCCTGCAGGTTGAGAGAGGAGAAGTCTGACGCTCCGGGGAAAGGCCAAGGCTGGAGGTCTGAACATGTCCGTGTCACCCTGTCCCCCCGGGTTCCACCAGGCAAGTCCGGTTTGCCTTGCACATGGAGGCCCTGTAAATGCTTGAGGGCAGCCACGGAGCTTCAGTTCCACCCCACTGAGCTGCATCCTCGCTCACGCAGGGGCAAGCAAGCAAAGCGGCTGCTCCACGTGTGGCCCGTGGTCCCACAGCCTCACCAGGAGAGGTGAGGAAGACAGACCTAGCCAGGCTCCAGGGCCCTCACTGTACCAGCCAGCCCCCTCGGAGTTGCCTCCAATTTGTCTGCACTCCTTCTAGGCATCCCCAGGAGGAAGAAGAAGATTCGGGAGTGGTCTGGTCAGCCCAGGTAAACTGGACCAGTTAATTCCAGATGCCTTATGTTTATAGCCACTGCCTTCAGATAGCAGAGTCAGTGGCATCCAGTGGCTAAGAGCTGAGCTGGGGAGCTAACGCCTACCTTCCTTCCAGGGTGCTTCAGTGTGGACACAGTTTGTCCCGTGTGGCCTGTGGAGGTGCAGGGGAATTCAGTCATGGCGGATCTGCTCTCACACAGCATGGTTTTGGGGGAGCAGGTCGGGTCCAGCAGGAGTGGATTTGTCCCCAGAGAGCCAGCTGTTACAAACAGGGGGGCCAGACTC